TAGTGGAACAGGGAGAAATCCAATCATATCACACATTTTCACTTCTACGTTTTTCTCTGTTTGACTTTGGCTGGCATCTATTCTGGAAATAAACTTTAAAGTGAACATAAACCAAGAGATTCATTCATATATTTTGCGCCATTTTTCAATTTTTTAAAACAAAAACGTGGTTTTGCTCAGCTAACTACTGAATAGCTAAAACATGGGAGGGCAGCAAGTATGAATAAAAAAGGGTGGATGGCTAATGATGCATCAAGAAAAAACTATTCAGCTTTGTGTAAATATTTTTTTAAGAAATCCACCTGTCAACATGTTCCCTTATTCTTTCATTCACTATGAAGTTGATCAACGAAATAATACATTCACAAGCCTCATTTCATCCGTGATCCTTAAATAAATGATTGACTCAGAATCATACTAAGAAAACAACTAAAATCAAATCAGAAGACTCAATGATAAGTTGGCCTTGGTGAGAGGCGCCGAACAGGAGTGGGCATACTTGTTGCCCCACATCTTAGCGCCTGTGTGTTGGAAGTCACCCTGGTGGATGCAAAGGTAGCCTCCATTGGTATTCAGTTGGGGGGACAGCTGCTGATTGTTGTTTGTGCTCACAGCGGTTATGATAACCCTCGAGTTTTAGAGGCCTTAGAGGGGGTGCTGGAGAGTTCCCCTCCTGGGGACTTGCTTGTTCTGCTGAGGGACTTCAATGCACACATGGACTATGACAGTGAGACATGCAAGGGTGTGGTTGGGACAAATGTCCCCTACCCCAGCTTTAACCCGAGTAATGTTTTATTAGATTTCTGTGCTCGTCATAGACTGTCCATAAAAAACATCAAGTTCAAGCATAAGGGTGTCCTCATTTACTCTCGGCCCCAGGAAACCCTCGGCCGCAGCTCCATGACTGACTTTGTTGTCGTGTCATCTGATCTGCAGCCTCGTGTCTTGGACACTCCGGTGAAGCGGGGGGGCAGAGCTTTCCACTGACCAATACCTGGTGGCTAAGCTGGCTCTGATGGTGGGAGAGGATGCTGGTTAAGCCTGGCGGGCCAAAATGCACTGTGAGCGTCTGCTGGGAATGGCTGGAAGAGTCACCCGTGAGACAGAGCTTCAACTCCCACCTCCAGTAGAGCTTTGAACTTGGTGGGAGACATTGAGTCAAAGTGGGCCATGTTCCATGCCTCCATTGCTGAGGCGGCTTCCCAGAGCTCCGGTCACAGGGTTGTTGGTGCCTGTTGTGGCAGTAACCCTGAAACTTTTCAGGCTGAAGAAGGATTCCTATCAGGTCTTTTTGGCCTGTGGGACTTCAGAAGCAGCTGGTAGGTATCACCAGTCCAAGTCACATGTGGCTTGGCTTTTTGCTGCGAAGGGCGTGAGAGGAGTTCAGAGAAGTCATGGAAAACGACTTCCGTATGGCCTTGAGACGAATCTGGTCCACCATCCCGCATCTCAGGGGGATGAAGTGGTGGTCCATCAACACTGTTTGCAGTGAATGACACTGTGGGTTGGTGGGCAGAGTACTTCCAAGACCTCCTTAATCCTGCTAGTGTATATTCTATTGGAGAGACGGAGCCTGGGGACCTCAGGTCGGGCTCTCCAATCTCTGGTGCTGAGGTCACGCAGGTGCTCAAAAGTTCTTCAGTGGCAGGGCTCCATGGTTGGATGAGATTTGGCTGCAGTTCCTCAATGTTCTGGATGTTTTAGGGTTGCATTGGCTGACACGACTCTGCAATTTTGCATAGACATCAGTGGCAGTCCCACTAGATTGGTAGACTGGGGTGGCGGTGCCCCTTTTCAGAAAGGGGGATGGTAGAGTGTGCACCATTTATAGGGGGAATCACACTCTCTTGTATGGTCTATTCAGGAGTTCTGTGGGGGAGGGTCCATTGAAGAGTTGAACCTTGGATTCAGGAAGGGCAGTGTGGTTTTCACCTTGGCCGTCGAACACTGGACCAGTTCTATACTCTAAGCATGATCCTGGAGGATACATGGGAGTTCGCCCATCAATTTTCATGTATTTTGTGGACTTGGAGAGGGCGTTTTGCCATGTCCCTCTGGGAATCCTGTGGGAAATGTTCCGGGAGAATGGGGTACCAGGCCCTTTGATACAGGTTGTTAGGTCCCTGTATCACCATTGTTAGAGCTTGGTCCGCGTTGTAGTAACCAGCACTTCTTCCTGGTGAGAGTTGAACTCCTCCAAAGTTGCCCTTTATCATCGCTCTATTCACTTTCTATTCACGCTCTATTCAACTTTTATGGACAGAGTTTGTAGGTGCAGCCGAGGTATTGAAGGTGTCCGACTTGGTGGTCTTAGGATTGCATCTCTGCTTTTTACAGAAGGTTTTGTCCTGTTGGCTGCATCAAGTCGTGATCTACAATTCTCTCTGATGCAGTTCGCAGCTGAGTAAGAAGCGGCAGGGATGAGGATCAGTACCCCGAAATCCAAAGCCATGATCTAGCACCAGAAAAGGATTGAGTTCTTTCTCCGGGTCAGGGGGGAGATACTTCGTCAAGCTGAAGAGCTCAACTATCTTGGGGTCTTGTTCACAAATGGGGATATAATGGAGCGGGAGATCGATAGGAAAATCAGTGCAGCGGGTGTCGTGAAGAGAGAGCTGAGTTTAAAAGCGAAGGTCTTTATTCATCGGTTGATCTATGTTTATGCTCTCTTCGATGGTTACGAGCTTTGGGTAGTGACCGAAAGAAAGAGATTGTGCACACAAGCGGCTGAAATGGGTTACCCCCACGAAGTGGGGGGGCTCTCCCTTAGAGTTATTGTTGTCTCTATTAGCTTTCTGTCTGCCTGTCTGTCTGTCTGCGATGGGGGAGAACAGGGAAATATTAAGAACTCTGAAGCAATTATTTTGCGTATACCTAATCAGTATTTTCTTAAAGGCAATGATTCCAGTAATATTGCTTGCTGTCACACCAAAATGGAGGTCTCGCATGATGTCATAATGAAACAATGAGAGGAGGGGGGAGGTACCACTTGGTAAATAATAAAGCTGTTGTAAGATAGCTCAAATCTTCAGACAGGGAGCTGACAACTCCGCTTTTTCTTCCCGACGATGGAGGATCAGGACAGTGTGACACTTTGCTTCCCAGAACTCCTCAACAGCTCTTGCAGAAAGCCAACTCTCCTTTGGTCTGAGATTGTGCTACTCAACTTTCTGTGGTCCTTCATCTCTCTGACAACCTCAGTTCTCAACCTGCTGGTCATCATCTCAGTCTGCCATTTCAGGTGTCTTCCTATTGAACAATGTGCCTCTCAGTCCCCAATAAGAAAATTTTTCGTTGTTATGTCTTATTGTCTTGCTTGAATTAAGAATATGTCAGCAGTATATTACTGAAATTTTGATGTGCCAGAGTGTGAAAAAACTATGCATTGAATTGAGCCGCTTTTTCTTTTATCCACATTATTTGTGTTGATTGGACGTCATGCTGGAGCAGTGGTACCGATAAGAAGCTCAACTTGTGATTTTATTAGTCAAATGACTGAAAATGTGTCTTGCATCAAAAACTGCATCAAGTGCTTGATTTGTGGCATTGACTCACCTTTCCCCCTGTCTCCTTGCAGGCAGCTCCACACACCCACTAACATCC